TGAGCTGCAGAACTCTGATAGTGCCGCTGCTAATGTATTCTTCCGCCGGAGCTGCTGGCGCTGTTTATCGCCGCCGGAAATTAATAGTATCAAATACAAATTTTCTGCATGGTCGGCTTATTGACATGAAGTGAGGGATGGTCAGATTTATAGGACCAGTGGAACCATAGGAAGACGATGTCGCTCACAGTGATATATTTAATTTGTAAAAAAGCACAAGCTCATTCCGCAGTACATGTCCTGTGGTCGTTCACTACTGTGTTTGATGCAGATATTGGTTATCTCGTCATTCGCAATAACTTGTCAAATGATAACCTCGTAAATAGTCTGGACAATGTGCATAGCGTAAGAGGGTTCAAGTCAACAGCTCTGGTCTTAGGCGTCCTCCTCCCGAAACATTCGCCACTTAAAGTGATAAATGAGTCAGTTTAGGTAATAGAGCCTATGGATGTGTTAGGTGTATTATATCATGGCACCTTTCTTCCTGTATTGAGCGCACTTTGCGCAATTGATAACCTACAGACAGTTCAGTCGAAGTTGGTATCGTGTGTATGTATTGATATACTATTACATGTGTCTATATTTTTATGTCTGTTGCAAAATATGGATATATGTGTATTGAATTGTATTTATAAAAGATGACCAACATAAGAACAACAAAAGAACAGCACTTGCTGTTACTGTAATGGTTCGAAGTATAAGGCAAAAATGGTGATTTTGTAATTTATGTGATTGCAGGGTTTTCTTTTTGAAGGAATGTTCTATAATTATCGTGAGCAGCTATCGGGACATAAACACAGGAACGTCCGTTCAGCTACCACACCCTCGTGTTTGCTATCACTCAGAACATAATAATCTTACGTTGCATATGGTTGAATGATGCCTACCACTGGGAAATCACACTGTCTTAATCTAATGAAAGCAAATACCGTCTGGACCAGAACCAGATTACATCTTTGACAAATAATTTGTCAACGTATCTCCGAACAGTGAGCACAAGAAGTATGACTAAAACGCTGTTTGTAACATCACAGGCTGAAAGGTGTTTATCTTAATTAAATGCAATCAAGCCAGCAGTACACACTGCCAAACAGCATGCTATTCAATCAAACTGTCAACACATGTTCCAGGAATATTCAACAGCTCTACCCTTGACTGTCTACATTTCACAAGTAGTTTTTAAATACAACCGAGCGAGCTCTTTGTGCGAAGATTGCGAAGAGAGTTACATGCCTCTAGCTTGAACTTTGTCTGATCATGGTAACATCATTCAAGCCCTAAGTAAAGCTTTACCAAAAGTTTATGTTAGATGTCAGGGACGTTTTCCCATGTTGACTTGTTTCATATGTTCCTGTGTGATTTGTTTTCAGGCCACACTATTGACTTGCCTTTGGATATGTTGTGATGGGTGCCACTCGCACGATACAATCACGTTGTCCAGAAGAAAATCCTTGAAGTTACTTTTTAGGAATAATAAATAAAAGCAACGCTCATGATATTGTCGGAATCGTGTAATTGATTTTGCTTTTAGCAATTTTTTTCATGGTTATTGAAGGCGTTTTTGTGGGTTTTTTTCTGTTTTGATTGGATTCCTGTTTGATTATGTTTTATCTTTTTGGCATTTTGTCATCACTAATATTGATGTAGGAAGAAAAGGTTCATAAGATCGTCATGAATGCGACGAAAAGCGGTTTATATTCAGTTTTGTGATTAGTGATTTCTGATTGCACAATGATTCCAAAATATACTCAAACGGAGACATCCCCTACCGAGAGTATCTAATGTTTCTCCAGTTACTGTGGCTAAACTCGATAATTACGTGAGCGTTTCAATCTAACAGAGGGAACATTCTGAATCCCTAAAGAAAAGAGTAAATACATTGTTCCAATAGATATGTCTACGATTTTGAAGGTTTTCTCACAAGCACCCTCTGCGAACATAATCTGAACATATTTTCGTGAAATAACCACATACAAAAAACTACTCCAAGATGAATAACTGACGTTCCTTTGCATGTGTTTGCGAAACGTGCCGTCTGTGGGACATGGTTCTCTCAACTATTTGCAAATATGCTTATGATATTGTGGGCAGCATACAATTGACTTCGGTGATGAAACGAATACAGAGTTTAGTTTTGAATAATCTTCACCGGTTTTAAGAGAGTCTGAACTTGAACAGAGATAAGGTCATGACTATTCCTAAGCCAACTCTAACATTATGTATGACTGAAGCCACCATTGAGAGTTGAAATGTATAACATATTCTTGCAGGGGAAATTATCTATACAAAATTTATTTTAAAAGTTATATACCTTGTTACTTTTAAATGAATTATCAACATGGAAAAGGACAATATACCATTCAGACACATGAACGTTTTTCATGAAATCACAACGGATTCTTGCCATTCATAGCTCAAAGAACAGTGATACATCACATTGTATCTCACTCACTGCCTATTCACAAAAGGACCACCCAACAGAACACAAGAACAAACTCATAGTCCCTGCTATCCCGGGCATTACTGCTGCGTTGAATCTTCTGGGATTTTGACATGAGCGTTGCCCGACTTCCCCGCTCGGAATATACATGCACTAATTTCACCAAGATACATTTACGTGCATTGTTAAAAACCGTTGAAGTGCATGCATGAGTGTTCATTTTTCATCTTCAAAAATGTTCAACAGATGAAAACCTGAAAAGTCAAAAGTTACACAGGCCGAAACGTTATTAATGCCTCAAGTGAAATTGTCGATCTAATCACTCTAAATTTTCTTATGTTGGTGTGATCTAAAGGGCCTGGATGGTCAGATATACCCCCAGGCGCACACAAGTCTCCGCAGTGCGAAGATCGCAATTATTGATGGTCCACGCGGAGCACTAGCGTTATTGGAAGCGGGCTTATACTGTAAGATAAAACCCAGCGGAATCAATAACAAGAAGAGGGGTTTATGTACCGTAGTTTGTATATCCTCGGTCTATGAAGATAGATTCTGAAATTGTTGGGATAAATTTGGTTATCAATTTATCATTTTTGTCATTGGTCTTATCGTGATTGTTCGCAATGTATTAGTTTATAATTGTTGATGTCTGGTATGTCTCTTTGATTGATGTTACACAGTATCTCTTTATCAGTTGTTATAATGCTCCTGTGACAGAAAATTTATGATTTGGACAACATATTTTTAAACACTTGAATACATCTTTTTTTATTATTGTGCATTGTTGACCTATAATTGCATCATTTTCAAAGGGTATTGAGGTGAATCATGTTTAGGCTCACACAAAGAATATGAGTGAAAACACGGTGCACAACATTGGTGCAGTTGATGTTCTTGAAAATATGTAACTGTGTCAATTACATGTAATTCACGTCATTAAATGATAATAACATTAAATTCATGACCTTCATTACTTAGTAAGCAATTGAAAAGTGTACAATGAGATCATATCAGCATACCATTGATTAAGGCAAACATTTGAAGCAACATTGTTACTGGCACAGTATCTTGTGAAATCAGACAAAAGATGCAGACATGCTACTATTACTATACTATTTACGGTATACGATGTACTCACCAAACGAACGGAAGGGTCATTTTGCTGTCTGAATTGGTCTTGTATAGCTCCATTGAACACTTTAAGGATTTATAATGATGGATTGACTGTAAGGAAAATTGGTTATCATTACTGGCCCTGCATATTGACTAAATTTACAAGAGGTCAGTCTTATTAACAAGTTTTGACGTTCGTGACAGAAATAAAGGGAGACGATCAGAATCGTAATTTCATAAGGGTGTACAATGAAATTATGTTCCCGACGTTCGTGCCTGGGGTACCTTTGGATGTGTTAAGTAAACGTTGAGGCCTTTATGTTTAACGTGAAAAATTGCTACATTTGATGTGACAGAAATCAGATGAATTGTATATACAAGTGCCCCCCATAGGCCCGTCTTGTGACCGATTTCATTTCTGGTTGTACGTCTTTGAAAGATATCAGAAATTACGCGAGATCGTTACGTCTATTGAGTACAGCAGCATCTTGAGACATGAAAATTTATATAATAGGACAGCCTCTGTCGGCGAAATAGAATCCGTATCATACGTTACTGAATTAACCGGTGCCTTTACAAAAGGTTTGATGTTAAAATGTAGTCAGATTGTTTTAACTTTAAACTTAGGTTTACTAATGCCAAGACAGAGCTATTGTGATGCTATTTTTGTCAGATGTAAAATATAGGCTTTCCTGTTTCGTTTCAAATGATGCACTCTTGGGATACAATCAATTTGCAATACCAGCAATGCAATCCTATTCCTAGTGCTTAGAAACACAGGAAAAGACGAAATCAACAATTCACGAGAATGGCCTACTTACAAGAGGTACACAAAAGATAGTTCAGGTAATTTATACGCACGTTTCTTACACACCCGTGGGTGAGAAACCCATGTGAAAACTGGTATCATATGTGTGAGATCGATTTCTAGTCCCGTGATTGGCTACTCCATGGTGATGACCTAGGGTCAGGTTATGACGGACTACTTTCCTGATTAACATTCATTGATAAGTTACTCGTGCTTCAATCGAACAGAAACCTGTTACTCGTGCCCCCACCAAAAAAACCCCAAAAAACAAAAACAAAACAAAACCCCCCAAAACAACAACCCCAAAACCAACCCTTTACACCTACCTGTTATTTTCGCGATTGCAACATAAACAGGCATTTATACAATTAAACACAATTGAAATAAATATAACACAAATCTATTTATGTTCTTATTCCTTTTATTAAAACGTTTGATTCGAGTCATGAATTAAAAATGGCTCGATCAATCAGTGATACCTGTGTAAACAATTATGTGAAAATCGCCGTTAGACATATAGCCCGGGATTCCCTTCGAATATTCAAAATGTACAACATGGGAACTTTTACTGGAGAGATGCGACAAGTGTCATGTATCGTCTTGCAAAAATACCTGAAACGATAACGTAAGTGCCTGTACATTTGTCTCGTTGTTTCTTTGATGAATTGATGAAGATGACATTTTTCACCGATAAACATGATGAAGGCCCACTTCCAGCTACGGGCATTGTGATTCCAATGTTATCAAATCATGACAATCAGAACCAAAACACATTCGTTGAAACAATGTACAACATGGAACGTTTGCAAGGCTTCATGAATGCAAATGGCGACACGTGTCCTTTCTATTCAATGTACAGGAACAGGTATAGGAACGGTTGATATACACATAAGTCATTGTTTAAGATATTCCTCCGACGCATGATAATGTAAAGTTTATGTCTTGATACCATACAGGATGTAATCAACTCACAGTTCATACTGACAACTCCGTTACATTCCAAGTGGCAGTTTCTGGCTCGGGAAAACGAGAAGGATGTGGCGAAGAAGAGTAGTCCCCCATTGATAGTGAACGTAACCTCAGCAATGTCACATTCAAGCACACGGGTTACACCTAAGTACACACACTCAAAACTTTTGGCTCCGGTCGATTGGAGAACATTGAACGTAAACTGGTACACAAGTACAGATCTCCAATGTGCAGAGATATCCAAAACAATCTTCCGATGACGACAACCACCAAACGATAATGATGACGTCACACGCTCAAATATTTTATGCTTGCAAGAATTTAAATCGTCCACATTTACATGCTAAAATCATCGTTTTAGAGGGAGGGCGGTGGGGTAGCCTAGTGGTTTAAGCGTTGGCTCGTCACGCCGAAGACCCGGGTTCGAATCCCCACATGGGTACAATGTGTGAAGCCCATTTCTGGTGTCCCCCGCCGTGATGTTGCTGGAATATTGCTAAAAGCGGCGTAAAACCAAACTCAGTTAGTCAGTCAGTTTTTAGAACGTTTGATTTATTTTCTGTGATCTCATCTAGTTTGCATTATCACTGTTGCCTTAATGACACGAAGAGATGGCAGAATTATTTTTGTGGAGGGTCACCTTGGTGATGAGTAGTGATTAGGAAGCCTAGTAACGTCAGTCAGTCATAAACGCTGTGCTGTGTATTATTGCGCAGCTACGATGAGTAAATATGAAATTTGAATCTATTCATGGTGCGATTTTATGGTGTGTAAGAAACAGATTACTGTACTCGTGTCTGTCAGATACCATTTATCTTACAACTCGCTGTTTCAAACCGTATTTAACTCGCTTTCGCTCTTTAAATACGTTTTGAAACAACTGGTTGTAAGATAAATGGTATCTGACAGACACTTGTTTAGTAATCTCTATTGGACCGACATCTACATGGGTGTTACGGTTCAATTGTACCTCAATAGAAATTCTCTGGCGCCTACGCATGTATACAGGATAGACATAACAGCAAACCGGACCATGGTGACCGAGATGAGGACACGCAATTACAAGTCATGTATCAGAATACTACAGCACAAGAAACCGAGGAATGGTCACAGAGTCTCGGGCACATTCATCAGGGTACTATAACACAACAAACCTCGGAATGATCTGTTGGAAGTTTAGAAGCTGATGAATTATAAGAAAGTTAGATGCTTTATGGATGACAACTTCTTTTTTATATTATAATGCGACGTTTCTGAATGGTGACCATGACTATGTCACATAACACAATGTGATACAGAAACATCAACCTGACATTGGTGACCGATACTCGGTATCAGGGTACTACAGCAAAACAAATCTCAGGATGGCTACAGTATTTGTCAGCACAACGAATCAACGAAGAGTGTCAGAGAGAAGCGCCTCGTGTGCGTTAGGCCATAAGCTGTAAGGGTGATGGCTGTCATCTTGTAAAAATAATGTTAAACTGTAAATCAAATCACGAGGGGTGCACCATGTAATTTACAGAAAACATATTCAAGACGACTGACGATGTAAAGTTAATTTTAGAGCACTCCAAAATACGACGTGAAGGCAATAAATACAAGTTATTTACGGGAATCACCTGCCATAACACCCACACACCTAGATACAGTAGTGAAAGCACAATATTTGAGTATACATTAAATACACGAGCAGTACTAAAACATACCACTTTGGCCTTCTAAGCTGGGAATAGGTCTGCAATAAACCCCATATCAACGTTATAGAGGCGACAAAAGGGTTCGGGGGTCAGGCTGTCTGGCAGGGTTGTGCATGTAATCGTATTCCCATTGCATACATGGATGTTCGTGATATGAATCACATGACTATGAACAAAAAAGTATATGGCTGGGGAAAAAACGTCTTTGAAATTAGCTTCATTTTACGCCACGTGCAGTAATATTCCGGCCCCCAAATATTGTACTTGTATCCTCACGTACACTTGTATTCATGTACGGACGCGCCAACACTTACAATTGTGCATTGTCGGAAATATATCCAAACGTGTTCACCATTCTTTCCAATCTGAGGTATTTAAGTATAAACATATCGTGGAGCCTGCTTCTATATATCACAGTAAAACTATTCTCAGCTTACCCCGCCAAATGAAGCATTCATTGAAGACATTTACTGAATCCCCTGTAACCACAGACTATTTTACCTGTCACAAGAATAATGCTGTAACACTATAAACGTCATCCACGGTAAACCACCCTGCCCATCAAGCAAACAAGTGGAATATATGACCCCAGTCACGTCCGCGATTCCTGAGTATATGCATCAGCGTTGTGGGACAGGGATGATTGATTCAGATGATGGCCCGGACTGACACGCATTACCACATCCATCTGCGGTACATGTGACTGGTGATGATCCTGTCTAGGTTCTGCGGTCGTATAACATGCTGTCTATGTACGCTGATGATGCATGGCCTTTAGTCTGTAAGAATTTTTGTTGTCTTAAACAGGCATGTTGGTGTGGCACTGATGGCACGAGGGGTGATGAGTTAACAACAGTCGATGAGCGTGTCCATAAGTCATTAGGTCGACTATGATTCGCAGACACAGCTTTGCTCATGTAAATTGTTGTCGTTCCTGCTATAATGACTTAGTTTGTGGGGTTATTCACCCCGATTTATCGAATGGGTATGCCTTTTAGATATTGATGGTTTTGACATTGCTCTCATATTTGCTGCACAGCCCTGTCAGCTAACGGACTGAGAATAAAACAAATACCAACATTCTTTGCATCATATGGAATTTTTACATTAAATGTATACGTGTTATCGAACGGCTTCCTTTTGTCTGGCCGCCATATAGCTGGAATATTGCTGAGTGCGGCGTGAACCTAACTCCCTCACTCACTCCTTTTGTCTGAGTCTGTAAAGTATCATATATTCACATGTATACCATAAGGGTTAGACAACTATACCGGTTCTTTTGTTAATTGAACTTACCCATGTTTGATGAAATAGATCAATGTCTTGTTAGATGTGTTTTATTCTACATTTGATAGATCCTTTCTCGTTTGACAGTTCCGTCCTATATGAAAAAATACTTTTAAGACACCATTTTCATGAACTATTCCCCAGATCACGTGACAATAATGTGACCCTGCTTCGTCGTAGGCCCAACGTTGATTATTGTCGTTGTTGATGCTGTCAGTATCTGGCTTCGATTATTTACAGACCGTCATGATAAAACTTCAATATTGTTGAGAGTGGGGTAAAACAACATTCGCTCAAACACTGTAATCCCTTCATAGATGGGTATGTGTTTTCGTCAGCAAAACGATCTCTTTTGTCATTAATCATAATGAAAATATACAAACGCTGATTTTAATAAATAGAAAACTCATATCTGACCCCGATTATTTACACATTGTCTTTATTGAACTTGAATATTGTTACGCATGACGTAAAACAGCATACACTCAATCAATGTTTTCAGTTTCATAATGGGTAGGTTTCTTCATCAAAGAGAACGCAGGAATTTCATTTGTCATTACTCCTGAGCAGTCACCATAGGGATGAAAATAGACCATCACTGAATTTGATAAAAAGAAAACTCAAAGCAATGGTGGCCTGGATTCCTGCTTTATTGTATTCTAGGCACATTTTCAAGTGAAGCAAAGACCGCACCAGACCCTTTTATCCTCACACAGCCTTATATCAAAATACTCATTACTGTCACTCACACCCACAACCGTCCCCCTAAACGACCAATATTACTGATAACGTGACAGATATTCGAACGCCTTCTGAAAAGCTATAATGACATTAAATTTCGAAGCTTTAAGTCTTATAGCCCAGGTGGCAATATGAGTCATGTATTTTTGATGTGTTAGACTGTATGTTCAGTCTTTTTTCTAATATTACATATATATTCGCAACATTGAACATTCTCGACAACTTATTGAACATCACAGCGTGTGCATTGCGCCTTATTGACTGTTCTGTTTCATGTTCGAAACAGCGCTTTATTTCTTGAGCAATCTATAGACTAAACCAAGTCTGGTGGTTTATTTCTTGCGTAATCTACATAAATGACCAGTCTAGCACTATTATCCGGTTTGGGCCAGTTTGCAGGTTTTAGGCGGCATTACCGAACGACATTTATGGTATTAGGAAGCATCATCATTTTGGGAAGTATAGGACAAACACAGCAACGAGCGATGCTTAGCCAGCACCACCTGCTCCTCCTCGTCCCTACCTTCGGTGCTACATATTAACATCTTGCAAATAAAAAGGGTTCGCTATCCTCAATACTGACAGTTACTGGATTTGGAGCGTCTTTATATGCTTCTCACAGTTTGCAAAGGGTGTCCACTTAAAGAGGTAGTACTTGAACGCTCGACAACCTACAATTGGCTATACATCTGATTGAAACATTTGGTATCGACTAAATGCCCTGCTTATCACAGTTTGAAAACAAAGACGTTTGCAACGTGACGTCGTGTACCCGTTGTCTCAAGGATGCCAATACTTTAACGCCGAGGGGGCATAGGTGCCTTCCTATAATCCTCAGAAGCAAATGTCTTTGTTTTCTATGATAACGATTTGCAAAAGTTCGGTCACGATACAGTCGAACATGGTTTTTCAAGGGATTCATGCACCTTGTGCCCATGACGTCAAAGCTATGTCCTTTCATCATAAAATTGTGTTAAGTTATAGTTAATTTTTTATTTGTAGTTTGATTTTTCGATATCACCTGCTTCTTAGTTTTGGGGAATTTTTGGAAGTATATGTATATGTTTATGTATGTTTCGACACACGAACCTAATGAAGTACCACTGATTTATCAGGGTTTTTTTAAACAAGGACGATAATTAATGGAGCTGTACTTTATATTCATATGTTCATATGTGTCAGTTTCAAAAGGCGTCATTTATAAAGGGTCAAATGATATGTATCACATGTAAAGAAAAGTTTCTCAGAAATAATAGAACTTAGAGTGTCATCAAAATGTTTAATGTGTTGACAAATGTG